CTGAAGGACATAAACCATACGATCATCTCAATAGATGCAGAGAAAGCTTTCAACAAAATTCAACACCCATTTATGATAAAAACCCTGCAGAAAGTAGGCATAGAGGGAACTTTCCTCAATGTAATAAAGGCCATATATGACAAACCCACAGCCAACATCATCCCCAATGGTGAAAAACTGAAACCATTTCCACTAAGATCAGGAAAAAGCCAAGCTTGCCCACTCTCACCACTCTTATTCAACATAGTTTTGGAAGTTTTAGCCACAGCAATCAGAAAAGAAAAAGAAATAAAAGGAATCCAAATCAGAAAAGAAGAAGTAAAGCTTTCACTGTTTGCAGATGACATGATACTATACATAGAGAAGACTAGAGATGCTACCAGAAAACTACTAGAGTTAATCAATGAATTTGGTAAAGTAGCAGGATACAAAATTAATGCACAGAAATCTCTGGCATTCCTATACACTAAGGATGAAAAATCTGAAAGAGAAATTAAGGAAACACTCCCATTTACCATTGCAACAAAAAGAATAAAATATCTAGGAATAAACCTACCTAAGGAGACAAAAGACCTGTATGCAGAAAATTATAAGACACTGATGAAAGAAATTAAAGATGATACAAATAGATGGAGAGATATACCATGTTCTTGGATTGGAAGAATCAACATTGTGAAAATGACTCTACTACCCAAAGCAATCTACAGATTCAATGCAATCCCTATCAAATTACCAATGGCATATTTCAGAGAACTAGAACAAAAAATTTCAGAATTTGTATGGAAATACAAAAGACCCCGAATAGCCAAAGCAATCTTGAGAAAGAAAAACGGAGCTGGAGGAATCAGGCTCCCTGACTTCAGACTATACTACAAAGCTACAGTAATCAAGACAGTATGGTACTGGCACAAAACCAGAAAGATAGATCAATGGAACAGGATAGAAAGCCCAGAGATAAACCCATACACTTATGGTCACCTTATCTTTGATAAAGGAGGCAGAAATGTACAGTGGAGAAAGGACAACCTCTTCAATAAGTGGTGCTGGGAAAACTGGACAGGTACATTTAAAAGTATGAAATTAGAACACTCCCTAACACCATAAACAAAAATAAACTCAAAATGGATAAAGACCTAAATGTAAGGCCGGACACTATAAAACTCTTAGAGGAAAACATGGGCAGAACACTATGACATAAATCACAGCAAGATCCTTTTTGACCCACGTCCTAGGGAAATGGAAATAAAAACAAAAATAAACAAATGGGACCTATTGAAACTGGAAAGGTTTTGAACAGCAAAGGAAACCATAAATAAGACAAAAAGACAACCCTCAGAATGGGAGAAAATATTTGCAAATGAAGCAACTGATAGAGGATTAATCTCCAAAATTTACAAGCGGCTCATGCAGCTCAATATCAAAAAAACAAAAAACCCAATCCAAAAATGGGCAGAAGACCAAAATAGACATTTCTCCAAAGAAGTTATACAGATTGTCAGCAAACACATGAAAAGATGTTCAACATCATTAATCATTAGAGAAATGCAAATCCAAACTACAATGAGATATCATCTCATTCCGGTCAGAACCGCCATTATCATAAAATCTACAAACAATAAATGCTGGAGAGGGTGTGGAGAAAAGGGAACCCTCTTGCACTGTTGGTGGGAATGTAAATTGGTATAGCCACTATGGAGAACAGTATGGAGGTTCCTTAAAAAAACTACAAATAGAACTATCATAGGACCCAGCAATCCCACTACTGGGCATATACCCTGAGAAAGTCATAATTCAAAAAGAGTCATGTACCAAAATGTTCATTGCAGCTCTATTTACAATTGCCAGGACATGGAAGCAACCTAAGTGTCCATCAACAGATGAGTGGAGAAAGAAGATGTGACACATATATACAATGGAATATTACTCAGCCATAAAAAGAAATGAAATTGAGTTATTTGTAGTGAGGTGGATGGACCTAGTGTCTGTCATCCAGAGTGAAGTAAGTCAGAAAGAGAAAAACAAATACCGTATGCTAACACATATATATGGAATCTAAGGGGAAAAAAATGGTCATGAAGAACCTAGGGGGCAAGACGGGAATAAAGACACAGACCTACTAGAGAATGGACTTGAGGATATGGGGAGGGGGAAGGGTAAGCTGTGACAAAGCGAGAGAGTGCCATGGACATATATGCACTACCAAACGTAAAATAGATAGCTAGTGGGAAGCAGCTGCATAGCACAGGGAGATCAGCTCAGTGCTTTGTGACCACCTAGAGAGGTGGGATAGGGAGGGTGGGAGGGAGGGAGATGCAAGAGGGTAGAGATATGGGAACATATGTATATGTATAACTGATTCACTTTGTTATAAAGCAGAAACTAACACACCATTGTAAAGCAATTATACTCCAATAAAGATGTTAAATAAAAAAGAAACCAAAGATGACACAAACAGATGGAAAGATATACCATGTTCTTGGACTGGAAGAATCAATATTGTCAAAATGATTACCCAAAGTTATCTACAGATTCAAAGCAATCCATACAAAATTACCATGGCGTTTTTCACAGATGTAGTACAAAAAATTTTTACATTTGTATGAAAACACAAAAGACCCCAAATAGCCAAAGCAATCCTGAGAAAGAAAAACGGAGCTGGAAGAATCAGTCATCTGGTGAGTTTGAGTTGAAGCCAGAGCTTATTTACTATTCCCCAAATCCTAGGGCCCTTAAAAATTACACTAAATCTACTCTGCTTATGTTTTATAAATGGAGCAACAAAGCCTGGATGACAACACAACTATTTACCCCACAGTTTACTGAATATTTTAAGCCCACGGTTGAAACCCACCACTCAGAAAGAAAAGATTCTTCTCAAAATATTATTGCTCATTGACAATGCATCTGGTCACCCCTGAGCTCTGATGGAGATGTACAATGAGATTAATGTTTTCATCCCTTTAACACAACATCCATTCTGCAACCCATGGAACAAGGAGTAATTGGAACTTTCAAGTCTTATTATTTAATAAGTACGTCTTGCAAGTCTATAGTTGCCATAAATAGTGATTCCTCTGATGGATTTGCGCAAAGTAAGTCGAAAACCTTCTGAAAAGTATTCACCATTTTAGATGCTATTAAGAATATTTGTGATTCATGGGAAGATGTCAAAATATCAACATTAAAAATAGTTTGGGGCTTCCCTGGTGGCGCAGGGGTTGAGAGTCCGCCTGCCGATGCAGGGGGCGCGGGTTCGTGCCCCGGTCCGGGAGGATCCCAAATAATAGTTTGGGGCTTCCCTGGTGGCGCAGGGGTTGAGAGTCCGCCTGCCGATGCAGGGGACGCGGGTTCGTGCCCCGGTCCGGGAAGATCCCACGTGCCGCGGAGCGGCTGGGCCCGTGAGCCATGGCCGCTGAGCCTGCGCGTCCGGAGCCTGTGCTCCGCAACGGGAGAGGCCACAACAGTGAGAGGCCCGCGGATCGCAAAAAAAAAAAAAAAAAAAAAAAAAAAAAAATAGTTTGGAAGAAGTTGATTCCAACCCTATGGATGACTTGGAGAGGTTCAAGACTTTAGTGGAGGAAGTACTGCAGATGTGGCAGAAATAGGAAGAGAATTAAAATTAGAAGTAGAGGCTGAATATGTGATTGAATCACTGCAATCTCATGGTAAAACTTTAATGGAGGAAGAGTTGTTTCATGTGGATGAGCAAGGAAAGTGGTTTCTTGAGATGGAATCTATTCCTGGTAAAGATGCTGTGAAGATTGTTGAAATGTCAACAGAAGATTAAGGATATTACATATTACATAAACTTAGTTGATAAGGCAGTGGCAGGGTTTGAGAGGACTGATTCCAATTTTTAAAGAATTTCTACTCCAAGTAAAATGCTATCATTGCATGCTACAGAGAAATCATTTGTGAAAGGAAGTCAATGAATGTGGCAAACTTCATCATTGCCTTATTTTAAGAAATTACCACAGCCATCCCCAAACTTCGGCAAACACCACCCTGATTGGTCAGCAGCCATCAACATCAAGGAAAAAGCCTCCACCAGCAAAAAAGATTATGACTTGCTGAAGGCTGATGATGTTTAGCATTTTTTAGCAATAAGGATTTTTTTTTTTTTTTGCGGTACACGGGCCTCTCACTGTTGTGGCCTCTCCCGTTGCGGAGCACAGGGTCCGGACGCGCAGGCTCAGCGGCCATGGCTCACGGGCCCAGCCGCTCCGCGGCATGTGGGATCTTCCCGGACTGGGGCATGAACCCGTGTCCCCTGCATCGGCAGGCGGGCTCTCAACCACTGTGCCACCAGGGAAGCCCAGCAATAAGGTATTTTTTAACGAAGGTATGTACATTGTTTTGACATAATGCTATTACACACTTAATAGATTAAAATATGGTGTGAACAAAACTTTTATATGTACTGGAAAACCAAAAAAGTTGTGTGACTTGCTTTCCTGCAGTATTCACTTTATTGCAGTGGTCTGGAACCAAACCTGTGATATCTCTGAGGTACACCTCAGAGGTGTGGCAGAGGTTCAACTTCAATTTTTTGCAAGTGGATATCCAGTTTGATATGTAGATCTCTGTGGCAGGTGATACTTGGGCAGAGACTGAATGAAAAGTGTGATAAAGCAATGTTGATATCTACCAGGCAGAGGAGACAGCAATTGGAGACTTCAGGTACAGACAGGTGGCACAAATTAATCAAGGGGTGAATATAGGTGCTTCTGAGGGAGTACAGTATATATATCTCTGAAAAATCTTCTGTTGAGTAAAAATTGAGACAAAAAAATAACTGGAGTTACGGGAATAATAGGATTTGAACAGAACACTCAAACCTTAGCAGGTTTGGAACAATCCTAATAAAAAACAGCATAATTTAAAAGACATAATTAGTTATTAGATACCTATATATGCACACGCATGAGAGAGAGAGAGAGAAAGTGAGAGAGAGAGAGAGAGGGAGAACTTCTCCTATTAAGAAAGGTGAAAATGGGAGTTCCCTGGTGGTCTAGTGGTTAGGATTCAGTGCTTTCACTGCTGTGGCCGGGGTTCAATTCCTGGCCAGGGAACTGAGATCCTGTAAGCCATGTGGTGTGACCAAAAAAAAAAAAGGGTGAAAATACGTTGGATAAAGAGAAATTGATGAAGGGTTGATGCCACTGAGTCATGAAGACTCAGAAGTGTTTCTGAGAGAGAAAGCAGGTGGCCACACTGAGTTAGGAGAGAGATTGTGAGAGTTAAAGGCATATCAGGAACAGTCCTATTTTCTCCAATTGCACTGCTCTCGCTGTGTTGGTTTACCTTCACTCAGAATCCTCTTAGCTGAAGACTCACATATTAATGTGCTCGAGGAAAAAATCTCCTATGAACCAAGAAACCTTCCACATCACACTAAACTGATCCATAATACAGAAGCACCTGTTGCAGCAGAATATATTCTTCACAAAAATTCAAAATAGATAAAGAAAACATCTTACAATATATTTTATAATATATTATAAAATATATTATATATATTTTATATATAATATACATACTAATACTTACCTAGGACAAGACATAAAATTTACAGCCAAACCAAGGAGCACAAATACAAAAATCCTTGTCAAACATTTGCAAGCTGAAGAACATAAAAATATCATTATCAAGGCTGGTTTGTCCCAGAAATGCACTTTAGCAGATTAACGACTTAGGAAATTATTAACGTAATTCACGGCATTAACAGATTAAAGGAAAAAACATTATCTAAATGGATGTGAAAAAGCATTTGAGAATATCCAATATTCATTCATAATTTTAAAAACTTAGTAATCTATGGATCTTCTTTAACCTGATAAAATTATCTACCAACATCCTACAGAAAAAATTGTATTCAGTGATGAGTCATTTCAAGTGTTTATTTCCTTTAAAACAGAAGAAGACAATACAGTTGATCCTTAACAATACAGGGATTAGGGACACTGACCCCCTTCACATGTATAACTTTATGTTTAACGACTGATCTGCATCCACAGATTGAACCAACCACAGACTGTGTAGTTCTGTAGTACGAATTCACTGAAAAAAAAATCTGTGTATAGTGGACCCATGATTTCAAAGCTGTGTTGTTCAAGGTTCAACTGTAATTCCAAATATCACCCCCTGTAGGGGGCCCTAGTCAGTGCAAGAAAAATAAGCATAATAATCGAATTAAAAAATATACAACTCTGGGGGAGCATCCGGGCACTTCCGCAGCCAAGCGGTGATCCTGGCAATGGCAGCAGCTGTGGCGGAAGTGGTTGAGGAGCTCCCACGCCTGGGACCAGGAGGGGGGAAGGCAAAAGGGAGGCGAGGCCTTAAGCCTGAGCCACCGTGGGGTGGGTCCCAAGGGAGGCAGAGTGGGAAGCACTCTTGTGGGTGGAAGAGGGCAGGGAGTGGGGCTCGTTGAGTCTCTAGTGCATTCACCTGGCCGGCCAGGGCTCCAGAGATGCATCTGCATCAGGTCCTAACCGGAGCTGTCAACCCTGGAGACAACTGTTATTCCATGGGCAACCTTGAGGATGTCCCCTTTACGGAGAGAGAAGCCTGAACCAAGATGGTGGAGTAGAAGCACGTGCTCTCACTCCCTCTTCTGAGAACACCAGAATCACAAATAGCTGCTAGACAATCATCAACAGGAAGACACTGCAGCTCATGAAAAAAGATACCCCACATCCAAAGACAAAGGAGAAGCCACAATGAGAAGGTAGGAGGGGCGCAATCACCGTAAAATCAAATCCCATAACAGCTGGGTGGGTGACTCACAGACTGGAGAACACTTATACCACACAAGTCCACTCACTGGAGTGAAGGTTCTGAGCTCCAAAACAGGCTTCCCAACCTGGGGGTCTGAAAACAGGAGGAGGAATTCCTAGAAAATCAGACTTTGAAGGCTAATGGGGTTTGACTGCAGGACATTGACAGGACTGGGGGAAACAGAGACTCCACTCTTGGAGGGTACAAAGTAGTGTGTGCACAGGGACCCAGCGGGAAGAAGCAGTGACCCCACAGGAGACTGAACCAGACCTAACTGCTAGTGTTGGAGGGTCTCCTGCAGAGGAGGAGGGTGGTTGTAGCTCACTGTGGGGACAAGGACACTGGCACAAGAAGTTCCGGGAAGCACTCCTTGGCATGAGCCCCCCCCAGACTCTGCCATTAGCCTCACCAAAGAGCCCAGGTGGGCTCCAGTGTTGGTTTGCCTCAGGCCAAACAACCAAAGGGAGGGAACCCAGCCCCACCCATCAGCAGTCAAGTGGATTAAAGTTTTACTGAGCTCTACCCACCAGAGCAATAGTCAGCTCTACCCACTACCAGTCCCTCCTATCAGGAATTTTGCACAAGACTCTTAGATAGCCTCATCCACCAGAGGGCAGACAGCAGAATCAAGAAGAACTACAATCCTGCAGCCTGTGGAACAAAAACCATATTCACAGAAAGATAGACAATATGAAAAGGCAGAGGGCTATGTACCAGATGAAGGAACAAGATGAAACCCCAGAAAAACAACTAAACGAAGTGGAGATAGGCAAACTTCCAGAAAAAGAACTCAGAATAATGATAGTGAAGATGATCCAGGATATCAGAAAAAGAATGGAGGCAAAGATCGAGAAGCTGCAAGAAATGTTTAACAAAGACCTAGAAGAATTAAAAAACAAACAGAGATGAACAATACAATGACTGAAATGAAAACTACACTAGAAGGAATCAATAGCAGAATAACTGAGGCAGAAGAATGGATAAGTGACCTGGAAGACAAAATGGTGGAATTCACTGCTGTGGAACAGAAAAAGAAAAAAGAATGAAAAGAAATGAAGACCACCTAAGAGACCTCTGGGACAACATTAAATGCAACAACATTCGCATTATAGGGGTCCCAGAAGGAGAAGAGACAGAGATGGGACCGGAGGAAATATTTGAAGAGAATATAGCCGAAAAATTCCCTAACATGGGAAAGAATATAGCCAGCCAAGTCCAGGAAATTCAGTGAGTCTCATACAAGATAAAGCCAAGGAGAAACACACTGAGACACATAGTAATCAAATTGGCAAAAATTAAAGACAAAGATAAATTATTGAAAGCAGCAAGGGAAAAATGACATATAACATACAAGGGAACTCCCATAAGGTTAACAGCTGATTTCTCAGCAGAAATTCTACAAGCCAGAAGGGAGTGGCATGATATACTTAAAGTGATGAAAGGGAAGAACCTAAAACCAAGATTACTCTACCCGGCAAGGATCTCATTCAGGTTTGATGGAGAAATCAAAAGCTTTACAGACAACCAAAAAGTAAGAGAATTCAGCACCACCAAAGCAGCTCTACAACAAATGCTAAAGGAATTTCTCTAAGTGGGAAACACAAGAGAAGGAAAGGACCTACAAAAAAAAACCCCCAAAATTAAGACAATGGTCATAGGAACATACATATTGATAATTACCTTAAACGTGAATGGATTAAATGCTCCAACCAAAAGACACAGGCTTGCTGAATGGATACAAAAACAAGACCCATATATATGCTGTCTACAAGAGACCCACTTCAGACCTAGGCACACATACAGACTGTAAGTGAGGGGATAGAAAAAGATATTCCATGCAAATGGAAATCAAAAGAAAGCTGGACTAGCAATACTCAGATAAAATAGACTTTAAAATAAAGAATGTTACAAGAGACAAGGAAGGACACTACATGATGATCAAGGGATCAATCCAAGAAGAAGATATAACAATTATAAATATATATGCACCCCACATAGGAGCACCTCAATACATAAGGAAAGTACTAACAACTATAAAAGAGGAAATCAACAGTAACACAAAAATAGTGGGAGATTTTAACACCTTACTTACACCATTGGACAGATCATCCAAGGTGAAAATAAATAAGGAAACAGAAGCTTTAAATGACACAATAGACCAGATAGATTTAATTGATATTTATAGGAAATTCCATCCAAAAACAGCAATTTACAATTTCTTCTCAAGTGCACATGGAACATTCTCCAGGATAGATCACATCTTGGGTCACAAATCAAGCCTCAGTAAATTTATAAAATTTAAATCATATCAAGCATCTTTTCTGACCACAAAGCTATGAGATTAGAAATAAATTACAGGGAACAAAACGTAAAAAACCCATACACATGGAGGCTAAACAATACGTTACTAAATAACCAAGAGATCACTGAAGAAATCAAAGAGGAAATCAAAAAATACCTAGAGGCAAATGACAATGAAAACATGATGATCCAAGACCTATGGGATACAGCAAAAATGGTTCTAAGAGGGAAGTTTATAGCTATACAAACCTACCTCAAGAAACAAGAAAAATAGCAAATAAACAATCTAGCCTTACACCTAAAGGAGGTAGAGAAAGAGGAAACAAAAAAAAAACCCAAAATTAGTAGAAGCAAAGAAATCATAAAGATCAGAGCAGAAATAAGTGAAATAGAAACAAAGAAAACAACAGCAAAGATCAATAAAACTAAAAGCTGGTTCTTTGAGATGATAAACAAAATTGATAAACCATTAGCCAGACTCATCACGAAAAAGAGGGAGAAGACTCAAATCAATAAAATTAGAAATGAAAAAGGAGAAGTTAAAACAGACACTGCAGAAATACAAAGCATCCTAAGAGACTACTACAAGAAACTCTATGCCAATAGAATGGACAACCTGGAAGAAATGGACAAATTCTTAGAAAGGTATAACCTTCGAAGACTGAACCAGGAAGAAATAGAAAATATAAACAGGCCAATCACAAGTAATGAAATTGAAATTGTGATTAAAAATCTTCCAACAAACAAAAGTCCAGGACCAGATGGCTTCACAGGTGAATTCTATCAAACATTTAGAGACGAGCTAACACCCATCCTTCTCAAACTCTTCCAAAAAATTGCAGAGGAAGGAACACTCCCAAACTCATTCTATGAGGCCACCATCACCCTGATACCAAAAGCAAAGATACTACCAAAAAAGAAAATTACAGACCAATATCGCTGATGAATATAGATGCAAAAATCCTCAACAAAATACTAGCAAACAGAATACAAC